TTCTCGCCCTTCTCGGGCTCCACGGCCTTCTTGGGTTCCACAATCTCCGCGGAACCCACGCCTTCCTCTCGCTCCGCGCGCGCCACCGGCGCCGGCCACCAGAGCGCCAGTACTCACGGCACCGGCACGGCCGACATCAGCCGTCCCAACATCGCCGCCTACACCAACAACAATGCACACAGTTAGAAACTAGAACCGCACCACCGTCACAACCCAACCCACACCTTCAGCGCTACCGCCGCGCGTTGCTCGTGAGGCGCCACAACCGCCCCGAGCTCCACGCCCTCCTCTCGCTCCGCGCGCGGCACCGGCGCCGGCTGCCGGAACGCCAGCATCACGGCACCGGCACGGCCGACCTCTGCCGTTTCGCCGGGAGCTGCACCCTCTTCAAGATCGCCGCACTTCCCGCTCTCATGGACGTTGGCTGCGTTGGTGCCTATATCAAAACCAAAACAAAACCCAATTAGTCCACGGCGTCTCCAGTACCCCTCAGTCGGGCCTCCGTCTTCAATACCTTCTTCAGCACCGACTTCGAGGCGCGTCTTCGCAATGTACCTTAGGACGGCCATATCTCCAAGTAGATACTCGGCCCCCTCTTCGCCGTCGTGTCGCCTTCCAGGCCGTATGTATTTGTAGCGTGTGTCCAAAGACTTGGTAGAAGTCTGCTTGGACGTCCACCCGGCCTTTGCCAACGCTCACCTCTCGCCGTTGAACACAGCAACGCCCCCGAGGCTGCTCGCTGTCTCTGTAGGTGCCTCCTCGCTGCCGGTACGCACGCGTCGCCGCTTCCTTACCGTATTCGTGCCTTCATGCCTGCGCTTCTGGCCACGCGGCACTTCCGACATTTTCTGCTTGTTTTACAAATGAGGATGAGGATCGATGGACGGCTGGTACGCGTCGCCTATTCATGGAGAGTATAAGGGTACATAAATACATATATTCCATCACGACTTGTTTTTATATACATTCAAACAAATAAACAATATTGTTTTGGAGTAGCCTCCATAGTTTGGGCGCCAAGTTTGCGCGGCAATTCTACCATACAAAATGCCACATTCAAATACAAAGCATAAGATTTATGCATCACTGCACTGCGTTGTGGTTACACCATCGCCG